GCCGCTGCTCTACCACTTTAGCTATTGTGACTTCGATCCACTGGGACACTAACTTCCCACCTCAACCCAACTTTTCGAATTTTCTCTCCTTTTTGCTATTTTTCATTCTTCTGCTATTATGTATATTAGAGAAACATGGTTTTATCTTACGTACAATGTCATTCTTTGTAATATTTATATCAAGGTCAGGAGTACAGCTGTATTAAAATGGGAAGTGTAGGGTTGGGCTAGCCCCAATTCTTCCTGTCCTAAGAATCATTAGTTAATCGGATAAGGGAATCAACTGTTCTGTATTTAAATAACTTTGGGTAGCAAACCCGAGGAGTTATCATATGTGATATGAGATTTAAGGAATTTACTGAATTTTTATGAGCGGTATGAGAATAGTCGTTAACTGGTCTTCTGCTATGATGGTCAACCTTTAAGGGAGCACAGATATTTTGAAACTACTTTTTTAGAAATGAAAGCTGGCCTTTGTTGTTTGAATTTTTCTATGATCGTATTCTTCACATATGGTAGTTTTAATTTGTGTATTTAGCGTATTTTGTAATAGTTTACGAGCTCTGAAAAAGAATGGTTTTCTTGGTTTACGCTACTTCCAGTAACTACCACTGGGAAGTACTTGGGGACTGATCAGAGAATAGAATATTTAGGGACTGGAGGGAAGAATGGAAACAAAAGAAAAATGTATTAATAACATTGTCCACATAAAAATATCTACGTGTTGGAACTAGACGTTAATGGTTGTTTTTTGATAGGTTAACTTTATTCCTTCACATGTTCTCTGCTAAAAAAAACATGTCAATATGTTATTATACATAAAAATAAAATTCCCCTATTGCTACTTTCCCGTCTTGTAAGAGCTTCATCTTGAAGTCGATGCGTTTCAAGCCCGAAATACTTGGATGTATCAATATTACAAGGCTGATTCACCTCACGGCGGAACACTCCGAGTGAATGTGCCGGGCGATGGTCGTTGCAATTCCCGTGTCGATTGTAAAATGTGATTTCTTCCCATCCTGGGGCCCCTGCGATCCTCATGGATTTCCCAGCGGGTGACTTGTTCCTAACGTTTTAGAAAATTCTATTTATTAAGTTGTTTTTAATAAACTGTTTTATATATATTCCTATTAGATCTTTAAACTGCTCCTATTGCGTAGAAACAAGAGACGGTATTTAATCTATTAAGCTTTGACAAATAATTTCACATTACTCATTAAGAATTATTTGGAGATCGTGAGAAAACCATTCTCTTTATCGTACCAACGTTCCGATCTTTATTGAGATCATCTTCAGGGCCTGGAATTCATAAACATTATTTAAATTATACAAATACAAGTAGGATGTAAAAAAATAAATGTATACAATGCTATAAATTTCAGACTCAATCAATGTATTTGTACTCGCTCAGTGTTGGTTTTCCATCCTACATATATTTCTATATTTTAAACAATGTTTATAAATCTCAGGCCCTGAGGATGATCTCACTAATGATCGAAACGTTGACATGATAAAGAAAATGTTTTTCTAAAACCTACGTCACGCCAGACCGCATCTCATGATCTTCAAATATTCATTAACTAACGGTCACTACACAACACACTTTATTCATTAACTTTTAGTTTATTGAATGTTTTTATAAAACTTATAATAACAGAAAGTCCTTGCTATTTTGTTACTATTATACATTCAAAAACAAACCGGTTCCTTGTATTTTATTTTTCATTTTCAACTATATGTATTTTTGCCGTTACATTTATTACAACTTACTTATTTCAACGACAACCAAATTAATTGAGATCCAAACTTCGTGAATTTTAATAAAAATGATTTAATTATGATTGTTTGAATTCAATAAAAACACAAAAAAACTTTTTGTTATAGATTAAATTTAACTAATAATTTATTAACTAATTTTGCCCTTAATAACACGTATTAGGCTCTGGCCTTTGGCCTCGCCTTAAGCCTCCTAAGCATCAAGTAAGCAAGCCATCGGGTTTCGTCTTGTTAAACAGAATCTTATTCTTCAAAAAGAGCTTCTGAAGCTGAACAGCTGAAATTTCAACGCTTGTTGGAGGAGGCGATTCTAACCCATCTCTTTATCAGGTCCCACAAGTGTTCTATAGATTCGTGTGAGGAGAATAGCCCTAGATCCTTTGAGTATTGGGTGATAACACGACCTACATGCATTAACAAGAAGTTTTCCCATCATCAAGAAGAACTCATTCGACGTACCTACATTCAAAGAACCATTCTATAAGATAATCAGTTCGGTATGGACTTTGAATCGACCTCATGCCATATTTGGCTGTCTTTAAAGGACTGTGACTCAGGAATGAAGCAAGTACTTCTCCTCACACGGTCTCGCTCATCTGATTGCTGAAACACAACTCATTTTTGAAGAGAACAACCCATCGTCGTTCAAGTTTCTAAGCGAGATGCTGATTTGCAAATAGTCAGCCTTTCTACTCGATGCCTCTCTACAAGTAAACAACCTCATGTGGGAGGTCTAGAGACTATACTCACGAAGCTTTATGATTAGTCTCAACTCGCTCTTACTTATCGGACCGTTTCGAGTTGACTGTCAAGGAAGCCGTTAAATGACGGTTCCAGTATGCTGTAACAGTAATAAAAAGATTTTCTCTAGCGTACATCGCGGACGACCACTGCTTTCTCTTCTATCGAAACTTCTTCTGGACCTAAACCGCTGTAGAACATCGTGGATGGTAGAGCACGGCACTGTCACGACTTGGCTATGGAAACGACGCTACGTCTGGGTTTGACCAAAGCATCTGCCCTGGCTTACCAAACATCTTCTCGACTTCTTCAGACCAAACATCTGCTTAAATTTTTTGGTCAAATTTGTTTCACACGTCATCAATTAACCCACTCCGTAAACGGGCTCTGGAAAGATTAAAATTGAACATTTTTTCTATTTTTAATCTAATGAGTGTAAAAGGATTAATAACATTTTAAAAAGTAAAAAACAAGTTATTAATGTTGTTATTATTAATTTTTATTCCAGTTATTATGGACAATAGATGAATAAACACAAATGTCCGGTTTTTGTCTTTGAATATATTATTGAGAAATTAGTTATAACACTAGACTTAACACCATGTTTAAAAAAATTATCAAATACTTTAAAAAAATCCTCACTCGATAAGTTGTGTTTTAAGTCAACTATTACTTAGTTATTATGGACAAAAATGAGAGTATCCGTGTTTTGTTTCAAGATGTGTGTTTTCTAGTTTTTCCTTATGCACAAAAATATACCATTTCATAATAAATAAACAAATGGAAATATTTTAGGAAAGCAGATTAAAAGCATGGAACAACAAGTGAAAACTGGTCCAAATCATTGCTTAGTTTGGAAGAACGATGTAAAAGAATGTGAAGAACGATTGGCGGTGTAAAACGTGAGTGTGACTATCAACAAAGGTATGAAATGAAATAAAAAAGATTCAAAAGACGATTGCAAGTTAATGTCTGTGATTTATCTGTAGGAAATTGCAATCAGAGAAAACCCCCTTTAACTGAATTGAATTAAACTGGATGTCAATTAGATTAAAAGAAATTTCATCGAACGAAAATGAAATGAAGTTAAATAATTATAGCAAAGACACCTAGGGGTTTAGACGTTGTGAAGTAAGCCTATTATTTAAATTGGTTGATAAAAAATGTCGATTCCATTCGTTATTTGGTATTCTTTTTATTTTCACTGTTTTTTAAAATAATTTAATTCATTTTTTATAGTTTAATTTGCATACGAATAAAATAGGATTTTCTGAACTCATATACTTCTTTTATAAGAGGGTTTAAATAATAAAAATGTTTTGCCGAAAATTGCGAATCATACTGCACGCTTTTTCCCTCTCCCCGTCCTGATTTCACCACGGGCGGCTTATTCGCCCCGTTTTTGGAATACGAATCCAGCCCAGGCAGGTTATTTAATAAACCGCCTCATTTATTCTTTTATTAGAAAGTGTATTATGAAAGTTGGCTGGGTTGTAAACGAGGAGGTTTCACTCATTGTAATAAAAGAATGTGGGAAACTGCTAAAGTTTTTTTTATGCGTTGGAACTTTTCGCACATGTGGTGATGTGCTGTAAAACAAGCCTCGGCCAATGACTAAGTTTTATAAAATAGAATTAAAATGAAATTAAGAGCACAGAATAATGCTCAAAATAAAGTATTATTTGCTGATGAATAGCGGGTAAAATATTTTTTACTTTATCCTACAGAAAGACTCCAAATGAGAACATTTTGACTACTATGCGCAAATTTTTTCATGGATGATTTGGAGATAAAACTAGGTACCTCTAAAAATGCACTTTTGCACGAACAAGCGAAGATTTAGGACTCTTACCCGCAATGATCAACGGACTTCATAAAAACATAAATTTACCATGGAAAAAGAGAAGTACAGCGAGTAAACTTCTCGGACGTCACAGTTGAAAAAAAGGAACAAAATTATAAATTTGACATATTGAGCAATCCAACGACAACTGACTCAATGATTATTGCAGACTCCAATCACCCATTGGGGGAAAATTAGCAGGTCCTTGTAGACGATAGGTAAAATGATTCCAATTTCTCTCCCAACAGAAAAGAATATTTAAATGCCAAAACATTTCTTACTGTGAAGAATGGTTTTAGTCACATTTTAACATAAGCAGGTTACTAGCAAAACGACTCGAGAAACTATTGGTGAATGAGACAACGCATTTTTATGAAAGACAGAATTTTCCTGGCTTTTCCTGCATTCCCCGCAAAAAACAAAATAAGCTCTCTCCTGAAAAAATCAAAATCAAAACAACCATACCAAAACAATGAAATAATATGAAAAATGCTATGCAACGCCAAAGACAAGCTTGTCTAAGAGAATTTAGATGATAAGTTTTGATCAAACCATAATAATATATTGACAAACAATGCAGTACAATATTTTCAATACAGTTGTTTATAAGAGATTCAATGTTAACGTTTTCTTGTTGCAGGTCGCTTGGATTCATATTGACCGACAGATGATCCTGACGATTCACCGGCACGTTATAGCCAAAGTTTCCAGGTTCAGCGTTTCGCACGACAACCACAAAACTTGGTTATTAAACGTTAATCAAGTTCAACAAGAAGACAGGGGTTATTATATGTGCCAAGTCAACACAAACCCGATGATTAGCCAAGTTGGCTACCTTCAAGTTGTAGGTACGCATGATTTTATGTATTATTTAAATAAACGTTGAACTTCCATATATTGATTGATATTACTAATCCAGTACGCAAATTAAAAATTGTAACGCAATATTGTACTTTCTAACGAACTATATTTTCTTTACAATCAACAAATTAAATGGTTATAATTTGAAAAAATCGTTATTTAAATAATAGAAACAGTAATGTATTTAATAATGAAATATTAGGATTTGCCTGGTCGGGAAATCAGCAAAAACAATTTAACCAATTATACTTTATGTTAATTACAATGTGTGGTAATTATTAGTGACCGTTAATCAATAATTTTTCCGAAATCGTGAGATGCGGTCTAGTGTGATGTAGGTTTCAGAAAAACACTTTCTTTATCGTTCCAACGTTTCGATCTTTATTGAGATCATCTTCAGGGCTCAAAGTGTTTGTCTTCTGTGTAATTTTGCCATTCTTGCGTGTCGTGTTGAGAGTGCGTGAGTTGAGAGAAATGTTTTTCTGAAACCTATATCACACCAGATCGCATCTCACGATTTCGGAAAAATTAAAAAAAATTGTTAATTACAATAATGACGTAGTATTAATACAATGTAGAATCTAGCATCAAATAAAGTCTTATTGTAATTTAAATCTCGACATATCGAAATGAATAAGATAATGTTAATTTTAATTGGATTGGATATGGTTCTGTCTTTTTAATAATAAAAAAAATCCGCGATGATAGTCAAGTACGGTCGGATTGATACGAGATTTTCGGTATCAGTTTTAGGAAAGAACTATAAAATCAGATATTAATTAACATTACAAAATCAGTTTTAAAATTTGGGATAGAATAGAATTGAAAACGCGTTTATTTTCTAATAGAGAAAAAATTACGATCAACATTATGACCATAAAACCATTCTAAGAGACAGCAGTGATGCAACGAAAATTTTATTGGATACGAGAAGAGAGAGATGTATATGGTCGCATACGATGGCTTTACACTCGTGGTTTTCCAACATCAAGAATGAATGAATTTATTAGCGTGGATGTTTGAGTGGGTGGGTTTGTGGTGGAATCAAAAGGTGCCCTACAACGTAGACCCTGCTAGTAGTGCCACCAAAGGGGGATCCTTCGAACCCTAGTACCAAATTTTGTTTTATTTTATAGTGTCAGTTTTTGTTTTAGTTTGATTAAAAATCGATACATATCATAAATGTTTAGTGTTTAGTGACCGTTAGTTAATGATTATTTGGGGATCGTGAGATGCGGTCTGGTGTGATGTAGGTTTTAGAAAAACATTCTCTTTATCTTGTCAACGTTTCGGTCTCTATTGAGATCATCCTCAGGCCTGGGATTTATAAACATTGATAAATTTTACAAATACATGCAGGATGTTAAAAAAATGAATTTATGCAGTGTTAGAAAATTTTAGATTAAAAAAATGAATTTATACAATGCTAGAAAATTTTAGATTAAAAAAATGAATTTATACAATGCTAGAAAATTTTAGATTAAAAACTAAAAACTAAAAAAATGATGAAAAAATGAATTAATAGAATGCTAAAAAATTGTAGATTTGTACTCACATCTACACGGAAAAAACACTTTCAGTGAGTATAAATACTTTGATTGAATCTAAAATTTTCTAGCATTCTATAAATCCATTTTTCTTTAATCGAAACTTTTCTAGCATTGTATAAATTTATTTTTTTAATCGAAAATTTTCTAGCATTGTAGAAATTCATTTTTTTCATATTTTTTATTTATTTTTATTTTATTTTTTATATAAAATTTTCTAGCATTGTATAAATTCATTTTTTTTACATCCTATATGTATTTGTAAAATTTAAACAACGTTTATAAATCCCAGGCCCTGAGGATGATCTCAATAAAGATCGAAAAGTTGGCCCGATAAATAAATTTTTTTTCTAAAACCTACCTCACACCAGACCGCATCTCACGATGTCCAAATAATCATATCATCAATTTTAGTTGTAGTATATACAATAAATAAATACTGTGTAAAGAACAAAGAAAAAGAAATGTTCAAATGAAAACTTTTTGTGAAACAACTGCCAGGGGAAATTGTTAAGGGTGTTTCCATAGATTATCCTGAGTCTCTGGCTGGTGGCAAAACCAACAGTGAAAACGTAAGTTTACTGTATCCTATTGAATATTTACATTCAATGACACTTCGGGTTTGTTTACTGCACTTAAAATAGGATAGTTATGCTATTGAGAAATTTACCCATAGGAGGCGGTTTGTACAACGGGACCTTTTTGTTAGTAAGAAAAATTGATACTACACTGCGAAATATTAACTGGGAATAAAAAGGGATATATTGCACAGTATTTGGAATTCATTTAGACACATGAGGAGATAAATGCCCTTTGTTTTGCAACAGTTGTAATTCCCTGACCGTCTAGCATTTGCTATGATCATAAATAAGTCACAAGGACAAAGTTTTGAATAAATAGGTTCGATTGTTCAAAGCACACAATATTTACATAAGGACGTGTCGCCCTGTCGAAGTGTACGACAAAGACGGGCATTCAAATAGATTGCAAATTAACAGAAAAATACATAGAAAATATTATTTTCTTAGAATCGTTAGAGTATTGTAAAATTTTTTTTCCTGCGAGCTTGTCAAAAATCGAAAGACGAAGATGTTTTTGAGCTTATTTATTCGGAGTTGCTCTTTTTGACTTATTAAAAAAATGTGATAATATAAAACTAGCGCTAGTGTCTCCAGCTATTCCGCGTGGGAATGGATGAGCAATTAAAAAGAAAAGTAAAAATAAATAAATAAAAAAGGGAGAGGCAAAGCCACGGTCTGCTGCTAAGCAGCCCGGGGACTGGCGTGCGAAGCGACCTACATTTTTTTAATTTAACTACGTTTTCTACTTTTGCAAACTCATGAAAACCCAAAACTTGAACCGGATTAAAGATGATTGCTTCAGTAACCAATCAAAAATTTCATATTTTCCTGACAGTAGGATGTCCATATTTTTAATTTACGTCTTGATTTTAACCATTTCCAAATTTACAAACACTATCTTTTTCTTTAAAATGTTTAATAAAAGATAATTTTAAAAGTTAATGGAGTGGAATATCATATGGCTTATTTAAGGCATTTTCAGAAATTGTTGTAAAAGAATTGTTTTAAAACACTTTACTTTATTAATCTTTACGTAAGGTATTTGTTGAGATAAAAAAGTCAGTGTCACGAGCGGGATTCGAACCCACAACCTTCGGCTAAATACACTGCTGTTCTACCACTTGAGCTATCGTGACTTCGATCCTTTTGGACACCAACTTTCCATCTTAACCCACCTTTCAAATTTTCCCGCTTTTTTGCCATTTTTTAAATGTCGTGTAATCTATTCGATTCTTGGCGACAAATGAAATGGCCACGGAAAACTTTAGTGAATATATACTTCATTTTAATTATTAAATCCATTATAGTTAGTAGTCCGATTGACGAAGTAACTTTTTTCAATTAATTAATCTTATTTAAGGTATTGAATAATTTGAATTTATTGATGGGAAGATGGTGTCCGGATGGATCGAAGTCACGATAGCTCAAGTGGTAGAGCAGCGGCGTATTTAGCCGAAGGTCGTGGGTTCGAATCCCGCTCGCTTTACTTTTTTATCTCAACAAATATCTTAAGTAAAGATTAATTAATTGAAAAAAGTTATTTGTTCAATCGGAGTACGAACTGTAATGAACTTTACTTTATGTTATTTATGATCAATGTAAGAATCCCATTTATTTACAAAATCTATTTATTAATTTTTACATTTCAGTCTGTCTGTGCGTTATAGTATAAAATAAAGTAGTAAATTCTTAAAGGAACACGGTTTAACAGCCTACTACACGATGGGTTGAATTGGCGCATTTGTGGTTTCCTTATGTAAAAATAGAGGTTAGTCAGGTTTAGAGCCTGAAATGTCATTAGTTCAATTTAACATTGAATCACGTGTGCTTCTTTTTCTGTAAAAATCATTAAAAAAGTAAAACTTTGGTATTTATTTAACACGAATTTAACAACTACAGAGCAAGGGGACAAGGAGTTCCATCTTAAAGTTTATATCCTTTTCCTTTGTCGGTTAAGGCATTAAATGTGATTTTAACCATTGGCTGAATGAGAGTGATTTAATTGACAGTTTGTGACATATCTGACGTGAGTGTCACTTTAGCGTGTTTATTTTTTTATAATCCACTGTCAATATTCTCTTGCACCAATAATTAATACACCTACTTACCCGCTTTGACGCTTGTTCCATACGTTCTGTATCATTAATTGGATTTAATCAGGCAGTTGAAATTTGATTCGAGCTTAATTACACCGATAGAGGGCGTAAATTCAGGGAAGCCGGGATGCGATGATTCTAAAAACGAGATAAAGTCGACGCCTCTTCGCTTTAATTAAATGGCCAATGATTGCAAACGAGACCAATTTCACAAGCAGGAGAAAAGAGAAAAGCGAAAAAAGTAATTCCATTTTTTTACATAATTTTTTTGATGAATCGACTTAGGATTATACGCGAAATTGCATCCTTTTTTTCCATCCCAGACCCCCTTCTGTTATTATCGTCATAATTCTTTTGTCAATTTTTCAAGCCCAGACGGGCATAGTAATAATAATATATCTTGTCAATATTGAGGCGGAATAAAGTACCTGCCACCGTCTCTGGAGACGGTCCTGTCAAGAAGGCCAATATTTCGCTCTTTAATCGCCATAAACGTCGGCGGAGATTTGTTTTGCTTTATTACAAACGAAAATCGACTGTAGGTTAATTTACAAAATGTATAAACATATGGCCGAATCATAAAATATTAGCGAGTATATAATTAAATAATTTGTTGAAGTTGTGAGGAGCGGTCAAGAATGAGGTGTTTCGAAAAACACCTTTTCATTTTTTTGTCGACGTTTCGATCTTTATTCGGGCCATCTTCAGGGCCTGCGTAAATTACAAAAAATATGTTGATTGGAAAATTACAATTTAAGATGTA